TTTGGATTTGGGGGCTGTCGCTGCTGAAGATAACTCCGGCTTTCCAAGTGCAGTCTTCGGAGGAACTAACTAGTGATTGGACCTCAAGCCTCAAGTGCCGTGTCAAGACTTTGCAGGTTGAGTCCCTTGAGTTTGATTTTTCCGGAGATGTCCACCAGCCCTCTGAAGCCATGGTAGGGATGGACTTGAAGACAGATTGTGTCAAATGCATGAGAGAGCTTCTTGCTCGAGTATCTGAATTTCTCTGGGCTTTGTTTTCAAGGTTTGTCGGGCTTCGGGCTTTCGGTGACGTTTTTCAGGTGAAAACCGTGAAGTTCTGCCAGTCAGAGCCTCGACTGCCACAAACGATGGTGGAGACGGAGACAGCTGCGTCCAGCCAGTCAGAGCCATCTGAGTCCTTCCCTCCTCGGTTCCCGACACTTGCTTCGCCTGGTTACGACACTTGTTTCAGCTGCGTCGAGCCCAGTAAAGCCACCTCAGCGCTTCCTTGGTCGGAAAAACGACACGACAATATGGTCTGCTGGAAGACTCATCTGAACCTCTGCTCCCCATGGCCCCTGCAACTGATCTTAACACCCAAACCTTGGTCGATGTGTACGTTCGAGAGCTGGTGTTTGGCTTGGGTTGAGTCGGTGTTAGCATGTCGATGTTCCAAACACAAACCAAGTAATTGGAAGGCTCGCCAACTTGTGCTGCCGAGTTGATTCAATTCTGGATCCTGCTCCTCCTTTGCACCTTTTGCTCTTTGTTCCGATAGAACTGCTAGATACCGCAGCAGTGGATAGAGCCGGGTACACTTTCTGTAGTCTTTTCTGATCCTCACTTTCTCCTCTCCTTTCATTTATTCCCAAATCTGCTGCGCAAGATACTAGTCTAACTCAGTCCTTTCTTTGACCAACCTGGTTTCTATGTGCTTACTATGCTTATACTTATTTGTGTCCAACATGGTTTCTCCCATTATGCGCATAGTATAAACATGGGTGCTGAAGGAAGAAATTCAGCACCACCCAACTTGGGTGTTTTTGCTTTGAATGCCCTACTATTTACTCCAATGTGTTCTCGAGGTTCTGGGTGGTGTAGGATTTCTTCCATCAACAATAGGATAGCTAACATGTATATATGACAACTAGGTCTGCATAGGCTCTTCTGCAACAGGGTAGGTGCACATTTTATTGAATATTTTCACGGCACTATAGTGTTTTTCAATGCAAGGGTTCTTGCGAATTGAGCAGATGGTTCCTTTTTGGAAACGGAAGACACCTGTCCTTGGGAGCACATTCTCACTGTGGTCATTTTTTCATTCGCCTTTTGCGGGGGAAATACTGTGTGTCCTAGGTTGCAAAAGACACATCCTTCAACAGATTTCAGAATGTTGCTCATTTTGTCAAGGCCTAGTGCTTGCGGGGATCGGAATCTCTTCCTGTGAACATTTGTACTGAGCACCGCTTCTTGGATGGGTCCTTAATTTGCAGTGGATTCCCAGATGTAGTCGCAGTTATGGGGAGTTGATGAGGTCTCACATGAAGACATTCCCTGGTACATTGGAATGTATTTCTTGTGCCCCCGAAACCGGACTTGCAGCACAAAAAGAACGGAGGCACCTTTGGTTTCCAGTGTCTCGAGTGTGCCTCCGGATCGCGGGTCAGATCGCCGAAGCCGTCGTTCGACCCAGATGCCCAGGATACCTTGGTTACCAAGCGTTTGCTGCGCCCGAACCGGTGCAGGGTGAGCTGCATGTGCAGGGAAACATATAAGAGGGTTCTGTGGATATGAGAGATTGATATATTCTGACAATGGACGAATGACGAATCCCCTGTTCACAACCAATTTGTGGATGGAAGCCATAAACATGCTCACCCAATTGGCCGAAAAGGGGGTCCACTGACATAGTTTCCATTTTCCGACCAGGTTCTGGTGCGGTGTTACATGGGGTGTTTGTATATGTATGTGAGTATGTGAGTGTGTGTACCCCAGCACTGCTTTAGTTAGCATGCAGAGCAACAGAACGACTGCCCCAGAGCACAAAAGCTACTGCCGTGCCCGGACCCTGTGAAGCAAGGGAAACTGCATTAAGAAAGACCATGACCACAACAGGATGAAAGATGAGATTATCAATACAGAACTCAAGATGAGTTTCTGAAATTGACCCGACACTTTGACAGTTGGCCGGCACACAGGGGCGGAGCGTCCGGCACTGTGCAATCAGCAAGCAGCGTCCGAAGGATATGTGCGATGAGAGCTCGTTCGCTCGAAGAAGGACCACGTTTTGCATTCATCCTTCGCCTGAGATTCTCAGCAGTTTCCCCGGTGGCAGAAATGGGCTCCCTTTGTCCCAAAGGTGGAAGGGCCAGCAGGCCGTCTTCTCACTGGTTTTAGCACCTTGGAGAGTGGTTTTCGCACCGTTTCACACACCAAAACACACAAGGCACATGTACAAAATCACCTGTTTCGCACAGTCGGCATTTTCTCAGAATCTTGGGTGAGTGGCCATGGCCCTCCGACCAGCAGTCACCAGCAGTCACCAGCAGTCTCGCTGGACGTGAGTGGGACCAAGCCCACCCACCTCAAGTGGTGCAGTGCGACCAAACGCGGTCGCATGGACTACCCGAATCCGCCGAAAACACACCCCTTACGAATCCGACGAAAGACTTGCTTGCAACACTTGGCAAGAGCCAAAAGGTCTTGAGTCTTGACCCTACTAGCCCTTCCAGAAAGCACGCCTTCCAAAAGGAAGCAGGAATGGTAGTCAGTTCCACTCACCATCTCCCAACACTAGCCCAGAGACCAACACTCTGTCTTGAACCATCCCCCAATCCACGCAAAAAAAGAATGCAAAAGGCCAAGGCCGGCACCAGGTTTGCGACACAAAGTCATCCAGACAGACCACGTCAGCCGCGATTCTTTTTGTGGAAGATGGTGAGGTTCAAAGGTTGGTGAGGTTCAAAGCCACGGCGAAGTTCTGCATGCGCTTTCTAGGTCTCAAAGTCACATTTGAGCCCGATAGCAGAACGACGCGTGTGACGAAATATCCTTTACAGCCAAAAACGTGTCGTGCCGGTCTCGAACTTGGCACGATAGTCATGCCCCTCACGGACCCTTCCACACTGTTTGCCGGGTTTGCAGAGGGATCGAAACATGTCAAGACAATGCGTGAAACATGGCAAGTGTGTAAAAAGACATGCCTCTATGTAGAACGTGTCGTGCTCGTCTGTGTGTGTGTGAGAATTCCCAAAGCAACTCTATTTGTGCCATCGGTTTCCAACACATTCTAGCGGGATAGGTGACCTTAAGTAACAAGAAGCTACTAGTAACAAGGTGCCACGCTAGTAGTAACAGGTGCCTTACTAGTAGTAACAAGAAGCTAGTAGTAACAAGTGCCACGCTACTAGTAACAAGTGCCTTACTAGTAGTAACAAGAAGCTACTTAGATTCTTTTCGCATTGAAAGTCATTCTGTACGAACAGTGGTTCCGTCCAGGTTGCCGAAGTCTCAGTGAAACCACCAAGATGTAAAGGGTGCTTGTTTTTCACTTTCCCAGTGATTTCAAGACGTTGAGCTTCGCTTTCCAGTCGTTTCAAATGGTTTCCAAACCGGTTTTGTAGTTTTCTTTGCTAGCCCTCCAAGCGAGGAAGATCAGTTGAGTGAGAGTCCATAAAACAAAGGATTCAACCGGTTCTAGGATTCTGAAGGTTTTATTTGCAATCAGGCTGCATGAACTATTGTCTCCCTGGAAGGGGAGATTTCATAGAGTATTCTTTCTTCAAGAGATGTATGGCACATCGAGAGAAACATTTGTGGTCGAACAAGGATCAGGACCACAACGAGATGACGGCAAGGCGGACTGTACTGCAAATCAGCTTTTGACTTTGTGCTTGCTTTGATTGTGGAGTTGATGTCGCATGATGTAATGTAGGCATGAATATCGAAAGAAGTTTGTGATGCATGTGTGACTCGAGAGATTTTGCGTTACAGACTCATGCACTTCTTACCTTCTTTGTCAGGACATGACTGGTTGTTCTACAGAACATCAATGGTGCACAATGCATAGAACAGGCTGGGGCAGGCAGAAGACAAACCATGGATCTGCCGATTTCCACCATACGTCAAGAACTCCGCCAATGCCACGAAGGCACAGACACGGCCACTTTCGGATGAGACAGACACCAAGCACCCGTAGGCACAGGCCTCAAACCTGACCCGAAGCAGCAGAAGCGGGACCCGAGCATGCACAAACTGAGAATGGGGTACCTGAAATGCGACATTCCAAACACAGGTAGGACCGGGCAGAACAAGACAGAAGGAACCTCACACAAGTGTCCAGCCGGGTGGAAGATCGGCGCTCTGCTCGGAGCACGCTCCGTGCACGCGAAGCATGCAGAAACCAACTCTGCAAAACAGCAGAAAAGGATCGCGCAGTGACAGCGCACGGGCTGAACACACGGCACTCTCGAATGAAGACATCTGGATTCCACCTGTGCAAAGTGTCATCAAGTCATCAAGAGCTTCTCAAGACTTGCAGCTTGTCTGATCTGACTTGGGAGGCTTTGCCTCATGTATTTCTCTTTGCTATGTCAGATACGGCCCATCTGCATAAGTGAAGCTCTGAATCAGCTTCCGAAGATGTCTGTTGCTTCATTGTTACATGCTTTTACTCCCGGATTCGGCTGCAGTTAAGTTTCTAGCTGCCCGCCAGGAGGAGAAGCCCAAAGAGGAAGAACCAGAAGAGCCCAAGGAGATAGAAGAAGAAGATGCAAAGCCTTTGGCTGGACCCAAGGCATTCCACACGCTTTTTGATCATTTCAATCCCTGAACAGAGGTCTTTACTGTAAAAACTCTTGGAACTACTGGGAACTCCATGCGTTGGCCGACTGTTCCTTTCGAGTCAAGACACGCCACGCACTGAGCCTGACTTCCTCCCCAGCAACCCAGACCCGACATGACCCGACAGACTCGAGCCCCATCAAAGCACTTTGGCCCCTTCAGGTGAAAGGGGGTAGGAGCAAGGACGCTACTAGGGGCTCCTGGCCTCGCTACGAACGGAGCAAGGAAGCTACGAACGGGGCTCCTGGCCTTACTAGTAACAATGTTTGCTATTAGTAAGAATTAGAATCAGAATTTACTGTAAGCTATTAGTAAGAAATAAGAATTAGTAAGAAGCTATTAGAATTCGTTCTTTAAGTCTAATTAGACCCTGAAAGCCCTTTGGCTCCGGCAGGTGAAGGGCTGCTCCTTGAACTTCGAGGATGCCACACTCAACGTCATGCCAACGGCCGGTGGTCGCTTACTGAGGAGTGCGAAGGGTTTGTGGTCGCGGCAAAGACGTGACTTTTTTCCAAAAGGGGTTGGTAGTCAGACTACACACCCTTCCACACACACAAACACATCTTGAAGGAGAGATATTATGTTAGTCCATGTTGGTCCACACTTTGGAAGAAAACACAAGAGAAAAAGGCTTTCACCGGAAGTTCTGTTGGCGGGTGGTGCTTTTTGCGAGGACGCTTTGTGAAGGAGGCATGCAATTTCTTCTTGCTGCCTGTCGATCCAACACTGGCGTGAAGTCTGGCCGCTACATGTTCGAAACCCGCATCGTCGAAGAGCTTCCCACCACCGAGAATCATGGTGCCCGAGTTCCACAGCCCAAGCAGCTGCTTCGGGTGGGATTCACCCTTGAGGGGTCTTCGCTCTTCTTGGCAGACGGCACAGACAATGTTGCTTTTGACTCAGAGGGCTTCTTCACTGTTGGCAAGGTCCGTAGCAGGTCTGGAGCAAAGTTCTGGCGCAACCAGACAGTGGCTGTGCTTCTGAACTTGGAGGATGGCCCCAACAAGAACACCGTGAGCTTGTTCGTGGAAGGGGTTCGAAAGTCGAAGCCCATGCCGCTTCCTGAGAGTTTGTGTGGCAAAGTCTTGTATCCAACCATCACCTACCGGAACATCTCCTTGGAAGTGAATTTGGGACCAGCTTGCAGGAAGCCACTCCCCTTCACCTGCCACATGGTGGCGGGTGCTGCTGCAAGTGATGTGGTGGTGTCTGCTAGCAAGACCAAGGGGAAGAAGGAGTGCGTTTTTCCAATTGGCCTTCCAGATCAAGGCTATTTTGATTGGGTGGATCAATTCTTGGAGAAGAACCCAGGCTATGTGGAATTGAGCGACCGGAAGATGATTGAATGGGCCTGGAAGAGCGGTCTTGGACGGCCTAGAAAAGGAGGCTCCAACGACAAGCCCGACCTGACATTCAGCAATCCAATGCTCGATGATGGTAGCATCAAGAAGGTGGTCTCCAATGTGTCTCCCTGCTTGGAGAGGAACTACGTGATCCCCGAGTTGAGAGCCAACTTGGTGCCTGCCGACCGTGCGACCTCTTTGCAAAAGTACATCGCTCAGGATTATAAGCGCAAGGCCATCGTGATCATGGGCGAGCCCACGAAGGAGTACAAGGAGAAGATCCAATCCATGATTCTTCAGGAAAAGACTGCAAAGGCCAGGGACGGGATAGACGTGGCAAACAACATCGGGATCATATGAGCTCACATTGCACACCTCCTGGATGTTCTTGTTGAGCTTCCCTATTCCTGGGTGCCAGTATGTAGATTCATGGAACTCTCTGCTGAGGCTGAGGCTGAGAAGAAGCGCAAGGCACAAGAGGAAGAGCGGAAACGGCTCTTGGAGCTTCGGGCCAAGAAGGCTCAGGACGGGGTGTGTTTCTGGATCATTTTTTCTTGTGGTTTGAACATGAATCATTCTTTTACACAAGTCTTGACTTTGGAAATGCTCACTTTTGATTCATTCTTCTCTTTTGGAAATATATTCTGTATTTAAAGGTAATGCCATTGTTGCATGGAAGGAGGCCAAAAATGCCAAGAAGGCCAAGGATGCTAAGGTGGGGCAGATCTTGGGCAGGGATGTGAGGAGTAAGTTGGGAGGGGGGTGAGTGGGGGGGTTTTGAGGGACAACTAACAGAATTGTAGATGGGAGCCACTAAGTGCCACTAGATACTTGATTGGATTACTCTCAAATCATGGCCGGTCAGAAGACCACTTTCCCTTCAACGACACGGATTTTCCAACAGACTAAGTGCGTGGGCCTGAAAGCATTCTCAGACGAGCCGAAAAGGAGTGGCCGCCAGCGGCCAGCCCAGACGCTTGATCACAGGATGAGGAAGAGACCAAGGAGGAGGAAGTCACGGAAGACGTCAAGATGGACGAGCCCGTGGTGGTGGAGCTGACAGAAGAAGAGACACTGGGACATGCATGGGGAGGACTTTGAGTCCCCTGTTGCACAAGGGAAGTCTCCAAAGCGGCTCATGCTGGCCACAAATTCAAAAGCTGTTGAGGGTATGTTCTCGGTTTCGCGGTTCTCACCGTTCCCCTGCTTGCTCGTTAACCCATCACCTTCCGCTGAACTCTCTGACTCGTTGCTCTCAAGGAAAGCCATGAAGTACAGGAAGACTGACCTCCCGGACATGGCCGAATCGGACTTGTCCAAGAGCTACACCAGCTTTTCTCTGCCGAGCAAGGAGGAGACTGGAAAACGTGAACTCAGACTTTCTGCAATTGGCAGTCTTCAATTTGGGCAGTCTTGTTCTTCCACCGGTATTTCATCATCCACCACGTGGTGAAACTACAGACAGGCATACAGTCTAGGGATTTGTTTTCTGATTGTTTAGTGCCTAGAGGAGAACAGTGTAGCATGAGTGTGGCTCTGAGATGCTCAAAGGTTTGAATGGGAGTTCACCCAAGCAGGGCCTAATGCATGGCCACAATGAAGAACACTATCATAGTTTTGCGCTCATGCTGTACTCATCTCGAACAGGAAGGCTTCGAGGAAGTTCTCTACGAGTGGCAGAAGGAGGCCGACTGCAGCAGCCTCCTGAAGTCTTGGATCCTCCAGCTGAAGCTCACTCAGCGTGCTGAGGTCGGCGCTGGAGTGGTCAAGGGGTCACCAGGGTCACCAAGGCAGAACCAGAGACCCAGAGGAAGATGATCCCGAGGCTCAGTGAGAGGATCATCCTCTTTTGATCATGGGCCCTAGTAGCGTCCTTGCTCCTAGTAGCGATGTGGTTTGCTGATATACAGAGTCTTTCCAAAAATGGAACCGACATGAAGATGTCTAGGATTTGGTGATTCTCCCCACACTCCGATTTGGCAGAAAGGACCTGCAGCCTGGTGCTGCCTTCAAGGAATCTTGGCAGAAGTGGCAGAAGACTCTGCAGGCCAAGGGGCTTGGGAAGGAACCAACCAGAGATACACGACCAGAGATTCATCTGCAGCAGAGTTTTACCGCGTGGTAGAAAACAAGGGACGAAAACAGAGCTACAGATGAGAAGAAGCAGCGCCACCCCTTCCACTCTCCAGGAGTGGCGCCGAGCTCAGCAAGACTACAAGGATCCCACCAAGAGGAAGGCTGCAGCCGCCAAGAAAGCGGAAGCAGAAGCTTGGGAAAGAAACGTAAGACGCTCGGGGGGTCTCGAAGTTTTGAGAAGGGACGTTCCTTCCGATTCCTGGACATTCTATGTCAACACCTGCTGGTCACTCTGGTTTTGCAAACAAGGGGATCAGCACTTGTTGTTTGGCCCAGGGGTTTCCGACGCACTGGTGGCACTGGAGTGAAGTGGGTGTGTATTAAGAATCGCGCCCTCCCAAATCACGCATTCAAGTCCGGCTGTGCAGTGAAGGCAGTGAAGGGCGTCGCTTTGCCGGAAGAATCTGGGTCTTGAGGGGACACTTTCCTTGATCCATTCTTCCTGTCTGAGGAAAAGAAGAAGCTGGAGGAAGAAAAGAAAAAACTCATGGAAGCCGGAGATGAAGATGGAGTCAAGGCCTTGGAGGAGAGCGCCAAAGAGAAGGCAGCTCCCATGGAGATTGATTTTGAGGAGCGGGTTGTACAGGTTGGGTGAGGGTTGGCCACAGGCTTTTGAAGAGTCGTTGCACCAGGGCCGCTTGTTTTTGACATCTTCCGACCCATGCTCAGATTTCTTGCCAGGAGCCTCTGAAAAGGTTCCCGACAGCTGTTCAAGACAGTGGACAAACACTTTAGACAACCATTACCATTATTACTAATTTTTATTCATCTTGATCTCCAGGACCTAGACGTCATGGGTGTCTCCGACATCCTGGATCTGGGCAACGGCATGCCACTCTTTGACAAGTTCGCCTACGAAGACTGGACCCTTCTCTCCACTCGTTATGAGCTCCACCTTCTCCTTCATTCCTTCAAGAAGGACAGACACACGCACTCCATCACTCAACAAGTCCTGCAAGACTGGTCTTGTAGCATTACCCAACATTGCAACATGGGAGTCCAAGATCTGCGGCCAAAACCTTAGGAAAGATGACCGCCTGTGCTCCGCAACCTATCTACTTCTTGACTTGACAATACTTGACATTTCTTGACCCAGTCTTCAGCAATTATATAACCATATTCCGTCAATAGCCCAACGCTCCTTGGTGCGTTTCTGTCGCTTCCGTGCAAGGACTTGAACGACCCCGACAGGCCAAGTTTTGGAGAGCCTCGGCTGAAAGAGTTTGTTCAGCGAGTTACTCGGCGCGCAAATTTTCAGACATCTCAAAGGCGAGCTATTTTGGGGTTGGCCCTGTTTGTGTAGATGGTGAGCTAGCTCTGGATTCAGCCTTTGTTTGAGGAGAAGCACTTGGGATTCTACTACACGAAGTACTTCAAGAAGGCACGGCATATCAGAAACCCCGCTAGCCTTCTTCGCTGACCTTTTGGTTCTTGAACTGCCTTTCCTTCGATGCCAGAGGAACTTGCACAGATTCCTTCTGAAAACAAGGGGTGCGTGGTTTACCAGATCGCAGATACAGACACGGGCATGTGGGACCGTCTTTGGGAGGCCTGGAACTTTTCCCAGTTTGGCCTTGAGAAGTTCGAGGATCTCATGGATGTGATTCGGGACAGCGTGAGCATCGACCAGCAATTCCTTAAGGCCTGCGCATGCGGGACGTCCCGAGTTCCTCAAGGCTACCCTGGATGGCTCCAGCTGTTTTCAAGAACTGAGCATGCCCTCCATGCAGGCTGAGAAACCAGAGGACACTCCTTTGGAAGATTTCGTCAAGTTCACCGAGGAGCGGGCTAGGTTGGCAGCGGCCACGTGGAAAGCATTACATGCGCAAGTCAGCTTCGTTCCTCCAAAACCAGGAGCATCGACGGGAACGCGAGAGACGTGTGGACGCCGGTGATGAGACCGCCAAGCTGAAATTCACTAGGCCTTCCGGTGGGGAATCATCGTCAGCGCCAGAAAGGATTTGAACATGAGAAGTTGTCGGTAATCTTTGATTTCAATCCACATCGAACCACCCAGAATCCCTTCCTCTCAGGCCCGTGGCGCGGCAGGCCGAGCGGAGCGGAGATTTCTTCGCTCGAAGGGGCTGTGGTGCGGCGGGAAAAACTCAGATCGGGTCATAGGCGGAGTCCGAGATGCTGAAGTCCGATGAGGAAAGCCTTCAGCAAAGCTTAAAACACCTCTTGATAAGTATAGTTGAGACGGCGAATGCACTTCAACCGTAGTCTACCTTCGTGTCCTACCTTCGTGTCCCACGTCGAGGAGCTTTTCCATGCTGATCTGGGGGACCTTGAGGTAACTCCCCGCAAAACCCATGGGCTGAGTGCGCCGTCGATGTGTGATTCGCTCCTCTCATCCACGCAGCTGAGCGAAGGAAGCACCCCGTGGTGATGGACTCACGCAATCGCACGTCACAGGTCTCTTGGAACTTTCATCCAAGCTTCAAAGACATACTAAAAAGCTTCTTGTTGTTCCAGGTGAAACTATTCCCAAGGAAGACTCGTCGTGAGAACTCTGAGGGGCTTGGCCGCTCCCTTCGCCACGAGAGCCAGGCTGACAAAGGCGCCAAAGGTGGCTCGAAAGGAGGCCGGGCGCCACGGGGCTGAGGAGTGTTGGTTGAAGGAGAGAAGACAGAGATAGATGTGGACCGTTTAAATTGGAAGGTGGACAATTCGAGGGTCCGGGTCTCTCTCGGAGGTGCAGCTGTGCAATTGGGCCTTTTGTGGACATGGTCATGAGCATATTACCTCCGAGTAGTACTAGTGGCTGTGCAATTCTTGGACCAGAGCTAGAGAAACGCTTGGGATTTTTCTGATTCTAACATGAGATTCTCTCGTGGATTCTCCCCTCGGTTGGTTTCCCATGGTTGGGATTCCTTCGGGCTCTGGGCAAGTCTCTTAAGCTAAGTCTCTTAAGCTCCAATCTGTGCAGCTCCGGCGCCTGCCACTGGCGGCCGGTCGAACTACGGCAGCTACGGCGGCGGCAACTACGGTGGTGGGGGCGGCTATGGCGGAGGTGCAAAGTCGTAACGTTGGTGACTTGCAACGGGTGGATTTGGATGGATTAGTCTTATGGTCTTCTGCCTCTTCTCTCTGCCATGGGAGCCGACTCAGGAAGCATAGTTGAACAACAGTATAAACTTTATGCGTCATGAAGAACTGATCCGGCTCTGTGTCCAAGACTAAGACACGAATCAGACTCCAAAATAGTGAATGAACAATTAGAACATTTTACCACTCCAGCATTCTGAGGACTCGAATGGCCATCGCGACACCTCGCCAGGCGGCTACACCTCGCAAAAGCGGACCTATCCTTCTCAGTCCTCCTACCCTCCTGCCACTGAGCATGAAAAAATGAGACGAACTCGACCCGAAACGGTTAGGGTGATATGATGTGATCAGCAATTACCGTAACTGAAACAAAGCTGGCTAGTGATTTGGCCTTAACATTGTGTCACAGGCTCATATTCATTATTCCTACTATTATGATTTTAGGGATAGGCTAAGCTTCGGGTCGGCTAAGCTTCGGGAGTTCTATGCCGATTCCAAGGCCAAGCAGCCGAAGACCTCCTACGGCTCCTATGGCAACGGCGCTCGTGGAGGAGGTTGTTTCGGGATCTGCCGCATGTTGTGTTCTTATTTTGTTATATAATGTTATATATATAATATATATATATGCAGCTCAAGGGTTAGGCTTTTAGTTGGCCCAGAGCATTTTCAGTTTATTGTAATATAAGCTATAGAATTAGACAAACACACTCTGACATTGGTTTTCAGTTAACTCAATTGCCAGGTCGAACATGGTGAGGGAACGGCATGGCGAAAAAGTCGGTTCACTTGAAAGGTTGAACAAGTTGTTTGTGCGTGACTGCAGAGCTCAGCGGTGGTAAACGAGCGGCTCAACTCAGCTGCCGAAAACCTAAAGTTTGGGGGG